TGCCGCTGGGCCATGCGCGCCGCAGTCGGCGGCCCCTCGGGGCGGTCTCTTGCGCCGCTACCCGCGGGGCGCGGCGGCTCCAGGAGATGATGGCGATGACGATGATCATGGCGGTGACGATGACCATGACGATGATGATGGTGGCGGTGGTGATGATGGCGGTGGCGACGGCGAAGATCCTGATGGCGACGATGGCGGTGATGGTGATGGTGATGGCGATGACGATTCCGGCGCTGATGATGACGCTGATGATGACGCTGAGGACATCGAGGACGATGACGACGGTGGCGGCGATGGCGATTTCGACGACGGCGACGATGAAAGGGGATTGTGGCGGCGACGATGGTCACGATGGCGATGGTGGTCACGAATGCGACGATGGTGATGAGGGTGATCGCACAGGAGAACAGGTGGACCAACCTGCCGGCGGAGTGAAGCAGGAAACGCGACCTGGCGGCTCCGACGCGCTGATTTGGCAAGCCCTGTGCAAGGTGCGGCATGTTTTCCTGGGGGTGTCGAGGTGTTTTTGTTAGCGGTTCCCTGCGTGCCCCCGCCGGCCCATCCATGCGCGACGCCTGGGCGATTTGAGGTGGCGAGGGAAGTGTAAAAGCTAGCAGGGGGGCGGCCGAACTTGTCAAAGGAGGAGGGGGGGAATGGGGGGAAGGAGGAGGAGGATGAGGAGGAGGAGGAGGAGGAGGAGGAGGAGGGGGGCGAGAAGGATGAAGTAGGGAAGAGGAGAGCGAGCGAAAGGGCCAAATGCCTCCCGGCTGCCTCTCGGGATCTCCTGGGATACAGGTTGGGCGCTTCTTGGATGCCTCTGGGATCGTCTTTGGGGGTCTCTGAGGCCCTCGCGGGGCCATCGTGAAGGTCATTTTGGGCACTCTGAGGCCCTCTTGGAACCGTCTTGGGCGAACAAGTGCCATTTGGCCGCCCGCGACTGGCCCCGTCCAAGTCCACGGGGTGGGCGCAGCAACCTGCCCCGAAGGGGAAGGAGGGTGTTGGAAGAGGAAATTGCTTAAGACCACCCACGCCCTACAGGGCCGGTGGGATTTAGCCCCCCCCCCCAACGCGCGCAAAAAAACGCACGAAAACGGACAGAGGAAACCGTTCTGCAACGTTGAGCAGGCGCGGGAAGACGGCGCCCCCGACAACCTAAACGAAGAGAGGAGGACGAGGAGGAGGATGCCGCGTCGCGGAGCGTCCGGGCGCGACAGCCGCGGGGCCCTCCACGGGGGCCAAAGCCCGCCAAGACTTTCGCTTTGAACCAAGAGAAGACAAATCGTCCTCGGCCGAGAAATCGACTTCCGACCGTGCTCCGATTGCGCCCAGGCGCGCCGGGTGCCGAACGACGCCGCTTCGGGGCAGCAGCATTCTTTGTCTCCGGGCACGGGGGATTGGCGGCGCGGGCGACAACCGAGATTGTCGGGGCGGAGGCAGGGCGCGCCGGTGCCCGAGGAGGAAGTCGAAGCACGCAGCGAGCGTATTATGATAGCAAGGCATGCGAGGAAAGGCGGGGGCGCCGCCGAAGGACGCGCTGAACAAGATGGCGTTTTTTTCTGGACTTGCGCGCTGCCGCGCGGCAGGGTGGCGCGAAGTCGGTGGATGCTCTTAGCCTCAGCGCGGCCGGTTGATCATTGCCCAATGCCCTCGGCGCAATTCAACAGGTGGATCCGTGCGACGACGACGATGACGACGACCGAGGGCCGACGACGACGACGACGACCACGACCACGACCGCGACTACGACCGCGACAACGACCGCGACCGCGACCGCGACCTCGATCACGACCACGACCGCGACCGCGACCACGACCACGACGACGACGACGACCGACGACGACGACGACCACCACGACGACGAGGACGACGACGACTACGTCGACCACGACGACGACGACGACGACGGCCGTCGTCGGCGCCGCCGCCGCCGCCGTCGCCCCGTCCCCGCCCCCGCGTTTGTTGCGGGAGACAGTGGAGGAAACACGGCGCCCGCCCCTCGCGGCCGCCTTCCCGCGGCGGAGGGGGACAGGCTTCCCTTTTCCGCTCTCGTCCATCCCTCTTTGCTCCTTTCTCTATTCGCTATTTTTTTTTTTCCTTTCTCACGTCCCCCCGAGTCCTCCCACTTCCTCCCAGGTCCTCCCGCCCCCTACCCACCCCCGCCGTAGGCAACCGACGAAACAAACTTCCCCCCCCCCCCCCCCTCTTCTGCCGCAGTGTAGCGTCGTTACGTAGCGTTGCACCCCGGCGCCCCCAACACTACATTATGACGCCGCACTAACCTCAGCGGAAATACCTCTCTCGCGGAGTCGACGTGAGGAACGCGCAAGGACAGCTACACTGAAAAACGACGTCGTCCGTCTCTTCGTCCTCAGCTGCGCTGTAGTGTCATAGTGTAGCGTCGCGCCTGGTATCTTTTGACACTACACTACGGCGCCACATGAAACGTTACTGTAGTGTCGTAGTGTAGTGCCATTGCCGCGTGGACATGACACCACAGTATTGAAGACAGTGTAGTGTCGTATTGTTTTGTCGAGTTTCACTGTTCAGATATACTCTCTGTGTGTTGCGTTTTGTGTGTTGTGTGTTTTGTGCGTTGTGCGTTGTGTGTGTTGTGTGCGTTGTGCGTGTTGAGTGGGTTGTGTGTTGTGTGTTTTGTGTGCACTGCGTGTGTTGTGTATGTCGAGTGTGTTTTGTGTGTGCGTGTTGTGTGTGGCGCGTGGTGTGTGTAGCGTGTATGTTGTATGTGTGTTGTGTGTTGTGTGTTGTGTGCGGTGTGTGTGTGTTGTTCTGTTGTGTTGTGTGTTATGTGTGTTGTGTGTCTTCTGTGTGTTGTGTGGTGTGTGTGTGTGGTGTGCGTTGTGTGCGGTGTGTGTTGTGTGTTGTGCGTTTTGAGTGTGGTGTGCGTGCAGTGTGTGTTGTGTGTGTTGTGTTGTGTGTGTGTTGTGTGTGTTGTGTGTGTGTTGTGTGTTGTGTGTGTTGTGTGTGTTGTGTGGTGTGTGTGTGTGGTGTGTTGCGTGTGTTGCGTGCGTTGTGTGTGTGTGTTGTGTGTTGTGTGTTGTGTGTGTTGTTGTGTGTTGTGTGTGTGTGTCGTGTGTGTCGTGTGTGTCGTGTGTGTTGTGTGTGTTTCCTGTGTGTTGTGTGTGTGTGTTCCGTGTTGTGTGTGTGGTGTGTGTTGTGTTGTGTGTTGTGTGTGTGTTTGGTGTGTTGGGTGTGTTGCGTGTGTGCGTTGTGTGTTGTGTGTTGTGTGTTGTGTGTTGTGTTGTGCGTTGTGTGTTGTGTGTTGTGCGTGGTGTGTGGTGTGTGGTGTGTGGTGTGTGGTGTGTGGTGCGTGGCGCGTGGTGCGCGGTGTGCGTGTGCGGCACGTGGTGTGTGTGTGTGGTGCGTGGTGTGTGTGTGTGTGTGGTGCGTGGTGTGTGTGTGGTGCGTGGTGTGTGTGTGTGTGTGGCCGTTCACCAGGACCGTCGAAAACCAATTCAGTATGCAAGGCCAGCCATGTGGAGAGGGTTGGGGGTTCACGGGCAGCGCGCTGTTTGAAATAGGACATCCCCGGAATAATGACTTTTCAAACTGTGCGTGTGCATGACTCGCCCACGTTTTGTGCAATAGCCTGGCACATGCTGAACAGTACAGTCAACCCGTATAGTAAGGATGGGCAGCCATCCCAAGGGTCCCCCTGAAACCTTGCCTCCTCGGTCCATCCTTCGCCACTTTCGCTGGCCGCGCCCCGCCCGAAAAGTTTCGAAATGGGCGTTCAAGGCCCTTGCATCCTAATCGCGCATCCTCACTATACTGGTTGATAGCAACACGCCGATTGGATCGTCCAGCCGCCGTGGCATTGAGACTGTCTGTGCTCCCCGAGCCACACCCAGGGGCGCGAGGATTTCCGAGGGCGCCTCGCGCGTCCCGGCCCGGGCCACAACGGTGGCCCCCCTCCAAACGGAGCGGCGCAGGGGCGCGAGGGCGCGGCGGTGGCCCGCGCGCCGCGCACCGCGGTGCGCGGTGCGCGCCGTCGGCCCGACCTGGATGTCTTCGGGCACGTCTGCGCGACGTCTGGGCAACGTGTACACATTCGGAGGTCCGCACGGATGGCCCTCGGGGGCGGAAAAGATGGGGGTGATAACTGGGGGGGGGATATCATGGCGGGGGCCATGATATGTCCCCAGATTTCATGGCGCCTCCTCTTATTTCATTACGTCCCTGGCCCCCCCGCTGGGCCGCGCAAGTGCCGCCGGTCATGATTTGCACCCCCCCCTCTTGGACCCCCCCCACTTGGCCGCTCCCGAGTACACTTTCGGAGGTCCGCAGGGGTGTCTCGGATCGGTGCGGAAAAGCCTCCTCCCCGGCCAAGGGCGGCGCGCCTGGGGTGACGGAGGGGTCCAGCGCAGATCCCAGAGGCCGGCGCGGAGCGCAGAACGTTCCTATGTTAGAGGCCTCCTAGGTGGGTCCCAAGTGGATGGGGTCGGAGGTTCGCGCCGCATCGCCGATGCATCGCCGATGCGTCTCGACGTGGAGCCCGTTGTGCCAGAAGAAGAAAGACGGCATAACACACGCACACACACACCAACACACACACACACACACTAAAACACACACACACACACACACGCACACACACACACACACACACACACACTTTTGGCGCTCCGTTCGGATTCCTCGGATCTGCGCTGGACCCCCCTCCCTGGCGCGCGGAGTGCGTTTTTTTTTCTTCTTCGATTCACGCCGACGTGGCCGATGCATCGCCGATGTGTCGGCGATGCGACGCGATCCTCCGACCCCATCTCTTCCGACCCCATCCAGGAGGCCTCCAAGGGAGGCCCCTGGACCCTCCGTGGATGGGGAGTCCAGCGGGCCTCGTCCAGAACCCCCCCCTTCGATTCGGAGATCGACTACCGAATCGATTCCCCCCAGAGTTCATGTGTTCATCGACTCTACGGAGACTGCGTTTACAGTTGTGTAAACCGACGAAGAAAAAACGACACGTGTGCAGTGGATTCGACCAACATGTCAATTTGGGGGGTAATTCACTTCTGCGGTCGATCCCCTATACTCGATCGAGCAACCCAGCAATTTTGGGGCAAGTCTATTCGGCAGTCGATCCCTTACAGTCAACCCGCATAGTAAGGATGGGTAACCTTCCCAAGGGTACCCTTGCATCCTTGCCTCCTCGGTCCATCCTTCGCCGCTTTCGCTGGCCGCGCCCCGCTCGAAAAGCTTCGAAATGGCCATCCAAGACCCTTTCATCCTCATCCCGCATCCTTACTAAACGGGTTGACTGTAACACAGCAATTGGGGAGGTAAATCGGTTCTGCAGTCGATCCCCCTACCTCGAGCCCTGAGAGGGCAGCGCCTCGCGCCGGAGGTGCCGGAGAAGGCGGAGGAGGAGGAGGAGGAGAAGGAGGAGGTGCCAGAGCATGCAGGAGGAGGAGGAGGAGGAGGAGGAAGGCGAGGAGGAGGAGGAGGAGGAGTAGGAGGAGGCAGGAGGATGGGATGAGTAGGATGAGGAATGGAGGCGAGGCGGGGAGGAGGAGGGATGGAGGAAGAGGAGGAGGAGGAGGGAGGAGGAGGAGTACGGATGGAGGAGTAGGCGGAGCATGAGGAGGAGGAGCAGGAGGCAGGAGGGGAGGAGGAGGAGGAGGCGAGCATAGGAGGAGGAGGAAGGAGGAGAGGAGGGGGAGGGAGAAAGGGGGGGGGTCGGGGGGGGGGGGGGGAGGAGGCGGATGAGGAGGGCAGGGAGGAGGGGGGGGGGAGGAGGGGCAGGGGGGAAGAGGACAAGCTGAGTATAGGAGCGCTCACCACGCGTCATATCTGACGCCCTACCCCTCCCTTCCATCCTTTACCATGGCGCTGATTTTTCTCTATCCGCGGACGCGTGTCGTAGCGGACCTGTGGCTCCGCGCGCGCGTGCGTAGTGGGTGGTGGTGCGCGTGCGTGCGTGCGTGCGTGTGTGCGTGGTTGTCGTGGTGGTGGTGGTGGTGGTGGTGGTGGTGGTGGGGGTGGTGGTGGTGGTGGTGGTGGTGGTGCGGTGGTGGTGTGGTGCTGGTGCGGGTGGGGGGGGTACTGGGGCTGGTGCTGGTGGTGGTTGTGGTGGGGTGGTGTGTGGTGGTGGTGGTGGTGGTGGTGGTGGTGGTGGCGGTGCGGCGCGGTGGTGGCGGCGATGGGCCCGCTCGAGAAAGAGGCCCGCGCTGGGGCGAGAACGCCATCCTGAACGACGGAGGCCAAACACCGATCCGAAAATGAGGCCCACGCTGCAGAGGGAGCACGATTCGGAACGATTCGGGAGCAGAAATGAGGCCGGCGCCTCAACAAGAGCAGCATTTTGGGAAAAAATGGCGCCGGCGCCTCAGCGAGAGTCGTTTCCCGGGATTTCCCGGGCATCCTGTGTAAAAAAAACAATACGCGGAGGATGCGCGGCTATCACCCGGACGCCATCAGGGGAAGGATTCGGGAGCAGAAATGAGGCCGGCGCCTCAACGAGAGCAGCATTTTGGGAAAAAATGACGCCGGCGCGAGAGCAGCATTTTGGGAAAAAATGACGCCGGCGCCTCAGCGAGAGTCGTTTCCCGGGATTTCCCGGGCATCCTCTGTGTAAAAAAACAGTACGCGGAGGGTGCGCGGCCATCACCCGGACGCCATCAGGGGAAAAGGGAGAGTATTTTCATATTGAGTAATTGTGATATGAGGAGGAGGAGGAAAGGATAGAGTCGTGATAGAGGAGGATAGAGAGGAGGAGGAGGAGGAGGAGGAGAGGACGAGGAGGAGGAGGAGCAGAGCATGATGAAGGGAGGAGGAGGAAGAGTAGAGGAGAGGAGGAGGAGGAGGAGGAGAGGAAGCTGAGGAGGGGAGGGAGGAGGGATGAGGAGGAGATGGGGGGGAGGGGAGGGGGCGAGGGGAAGGGCAAGGGGAGGGGGTATAAAGGAGAAGACTACGAGGAGAACACGAGGAGGATGAGTTGGAGAGAGGAGAGGGATGATGGAGGAGAATTGGGGGGAGGTGCCGGAGCGTGGCGGTGGCGAAGCGTACGTCGGGCGAGTCTGTTGGGGGGCTTCGGGGCGGACGCACGGCTTCGGGCGGCTGGGGCCGTCTGCCGAGGATGCTTCGGGCGGCGGGGGCCCCCACATCGTGGGGGCCCCAGTCGCCCGATGCATCATCCTCCTCCTCCATTCTCTCCTCCTCCTGCTCCTCCCCTCCTTCCCCTCCTCCTCCATCCTTCCTCCTCCTCCCTCCTCCTCTTCCCCCCTCCTTCTTCTCTCTCCTCTTCTTTCTCCTTCTCCTCCTCCTCCTCCTCCCTCCTTCCTCCTCCTCCTCTTCTCCTTCCTCCTCCTTCCTCCCTCTCTCCTTTTCCTCTTCCCCATCCTCCTGAGTCACTGAACCACTGGTGGTCTGAGAGTTCCTCATCCTTCCTCCCCCACTCACTCCTCCTCCTCCTCCTCCTCCTCCTCCTCCTCCTCCTCCCCCTCCTCATTTAGTGGCGACCCATGCCAAGAAGCACCCTGCTTGCCTCCCTGGGTTTCTTGGGTTTCGATGGTTTTGCGATGGAGAGCGTGGCGTTCCCACACCAAAAGAGACATGGACTTCCGGGGGTCTCACGGTTGGATCTCTTGCGGGAGGTTTCTTGTGGTCGAGCCCCTGCACTCGGAGGTTGATAGACCTCCTACCCTGACACGTCGATTAGCGAATTGGCCGTTTTCGGTTCGCGAGAGGGCGTCGCGGCCGTCATCTTGGCGGGTCCAGGTCCGTCGGTTTCGGTCCTAGGCCGATTTCACTAAAGGGAGGTTTACTAAAGGGAGGTTTGCCCACCGCCGACACAGGAGGGTCCCAAAAAAGTGCGGCGACGGACGGATCATTCGGTGAGGTCTTCCGGGATTCTTTGAGGTCGCCGCACGGTCTGCCGCCGCACCGTTTCGGTGCAGGGCGAGGGGCAGCGATACGAGGATGTCGAAGGCCCTCTGGTTCCCCCCCTCTGGCCGAGGCGCCCGGGATGAGCATGTAGCATTTCTCTTGGCACTGCCGCGCGCCGTGGAGCCGGCGTGAGGTGCGGGATCGGATTTTCCCAGAACCTCGGGATGTCTTTTTGGTCCGGGGAGCGATTAGGAGCAGGAGGAGGAGGAGGAGGAGAAAAAAGGAGGATGAAGAGGATCAGGGGGCGGCAGCATCAACGCCGGCCAGATCGGGCGGGGTTAGGACGAGGGTAAATCCGTTCCAGAGCGTTCTGGAAGGCTCCCCGAGTGTTCCAGAACGCTCTGAGAAGACCGCGGCGCCCGAAATATCCTCCAGAGCCGCTGGACCTCAGAGACTCTCGTCTTCATCCTCACCCAATGTTACTCTCGTCTTGGCCTCCTCTTGGGATGAGGATGCGGCAGCATCAGCGCAGTGGGGGACGGAGGCCCAGAAATTGCTGTGGCGAGCCTGCTTATTTGCCTCTTCTCGCCAAGCGAGAGCTGTCTTGCGCGGGTTCGGCAGGCGTGGGGCGCGTACGCGCTGGTGGTGCCGGCTGCCTTGGTGATCGCCAGCGGTTTGTGCAAGGCCCGCGGCGAAGTTCTTTGTCCCAGACAGTGGCGAGGCGTCTTGGCTTGCCCACAGGCCCACCAAATAATGTTCTAAGAACCTTTTGTGGTTTGCACGAACATGTTCTTATAACGTTTCTGTTCCGTCTTGTTTCAATACGTTGGCTTTTTGCTATGAGAGCAATGCTTTGTTTGGGAACAGTTCTTTTGTTCCAAGAATTTTTCGCGGTAGGCCTATGGGACTTTCGGGACGGTCGGTGTTTGCTCAATTGTCTGCCAAGCTGGCCGGTGCGGTCCCAGACTCAGCGAGCGAAGAACGGTATAAAATAAACTTTCCGCCGTCGGAGACACCTGCCCCTGGGCGGCTGGAAAGTTTATACCCCTACGGTGCCACCGGAAGGGTATAGATTTTCCAGCCGCCCTGGGACAGGCGCCCCCGACAGCGAAAAAGTTTATTTTACACAGTTCTTCGCCCGTTAACAGACATGCTGGCGTCGTGAATTCATCACGTCGCGCGGTCCTTGGCCGTTTCTGGCCGATGGGGACCCCCGCAGGATCCCGCACGGTTCCATGACGGTGCCGCAGGATTCCTCAGAGTGGTCTTGGCATCGCTCGGACGTGTGCATTTTTTCTTCGACGAGGACCATCGAGGAGCATCCTTGATCACTTGGCGAAAAGACCACGCACGAAACCGAAAAAAGCACAGGGAATGGACGTCCGAGCGATGGCGAGTGGTTCCGCAGGAGTCCTTAAGAGTGCCTCCGGATAGAGCAGGCGTCAGAATCGTGCACCACCTTCGAGGCATGCCATGTTTCCTTCTGTGTCCCCTGGCCCTCGCCGTGTCCACAAGTATGGTGCCGAATCCTTCACAGTGAATGTTCGTCGTACGGGGCCTTCTCACGTGCGTTCCAGGAGCTCTTGGTTGACGACTCCAGGTGAGGAGGGGAGCGACGCTGGAGTCCCGGGCAAAGTGGGTCCTGCAACCCAGGGGGCATCTCGTGGAGCCCGCAGCCCCTTGCAGGAAAAGGGCACCATCCGCGTCGAAGCTCGATAAGAGCGACTCCGAGCAGAGGCACGCGGGGCTGGCCTCTGTGGCGTTTCCTCACCACGACTGCTCCTCCTCCTCCTCCTCCTCCTCGCTCCCTGATCCTCCTCCTCCTCCTCCTCCTCGCTCCCTGATCCTGCGCAAGACATTGCGCGCCGAAGATCCTCCGACGAGCAACCGATGGCTAAGCCGACGAGTTAGGGCACGGGCTCAGTGGCCAGCACCTTGAGAACACGAGAGACGCCTGCTGCAGTGTGCCTGTACTCTCCTCGCCTGAGCCTGTCCCAGATCTTCTTGGCCCAGGCAGGAAGACATCCTGAGCAGCTGGAAGACAGACTGGAGAGGCGAGACGAAGAGATGACACCACAGCGAGAGCAACCGACCAGAACGACCTTGTCCTGGAGAGAAAACTTGACCAGAGCGTGAGGCCTCTCACAGTTGACACTGAGGGCCTGGGACGCTCTGACTGCGCTCCTCCTCCTCCTCCTCCTCGTCCTTCCCCCCCTCCTCGATCCTCGGCGCGGCGCCGAGAGGAGACGGGCTTCACCATCTTCGGGCTGTTCCTGCTGGTGGAGCTGCTGGACTTCGTCGACGAGGGCCGGGCCCCGCGACCAGAGGGGCAGCAGGGCGGCCGGGCCGCCGCCAGGGTCCGGCGCCGCACCCGCACGCGCGTGGTCGCCCTGGCGGTCCTCACGCTGCTGGTCTTCGCGGCGAGGCGAGTCCTCCTCCTCCTCCTCCTCCTCCGCATCCCTCCTCCTGCTCGTCCTCCTCCTCGTCCTCCTCCTCCTCCTCCGCCTCCTCCTCCTCCGCCTCCTTCCGACGAGAACCTGCCTGAGTGTTTCTGTACCGTTTGACCGATCCCCATCCCCATCCCCATCCCCATCACGATACCACCCATGCTAGCGCCCCAGGGTGGGGGACGTGCCCCTCGAGGCCCGGAGGGAGCGGCAGAACAGCCTGTACCCCCATCCCGGAGTGTAGAGCGGTCCGGGGGCCCAAGGCCACGCTGGTGGGGGCAGGGATCGGTGAAACGATGCTTAGTGTTTCCAGCTTTTCTCCTTTTGATATTGTCATCGGTATGGTTGTTCTTTGGTCTATGTTTGTTTTCCCGTATTTGTTTGGTCTCGAGGTGGGGTGGGGCGCGTCTCGAGAAGCTACCCGCCCCGTCCCGCCCACGCCAGAAATCAGACTTCCCCAAGGAGCCTTCCGCCCCCGCCCCTGTCTCACCCAGATCTGTTTACCGTTGCCCCACCTCTGGGAGTGGCGGCATGAGTGGGGGAGCACTGGTAGTTTTCTGTTTGCCTCGGCCTCAAGGTACCGCCACACCGGGGGCACTTCGATCAACATGTCGCCCCAGGACTTCGCGCATTTGCGGCCTGATCAGCGATATTGCAAGATCGATCGTATTCTCTCCCTTCCCTCCCCCTCCGCCCTCCACTCCTCTCCTCCTCTCCATCCATACCCCATTCTGCCCACTGCCACAGCGACCTCCAACTCGATCTTCATGCTCGCCTCCATCTGCTAGGGCGCAACCCGTGGGATGTTACGTTCTGTATCCGCGCTGGCATTTTCGCGGTCGGTAGCTGGCCAATTCGGGGCTAATCCTGTTTTCTCCCGCTTGATACAGCTTAATCCGGCTTACCCCTGCGCTTAATCTGGCCCTGTCCAGTGACGTGGCTCCTTAGTCGGGCGTAATCCCCTCTCATAGGTCCACCGAAGACCTCCCAGGAGCTGCCTCTTCTTCTTCCTCCTGGAGGTATGCCTCTGGCGTGATCCATTCCCGGCCCTCGTGTGGAGCCGTGCCGTCGTCTTCCTTGGCCGCTGCGCCGTGCTCCTCCTCCTGCTCCCGCCCCTCCCGCTCGTCTTCGACGTGCCCGCGCGCCTCCGTCGCCACCGCTCACCGCCCGTGCACTTCGCGTCTTCGGTACAGTCGGACCGAGGTAGGAGATCGAGGTCGGTTCGGGGAGGGTATCCTGGTGCTGTTCGTGCTGATGAGATGTTTTGGTGTGTATCCTGGGGAGGGCACCCTTGGATGCTCTATAAGGTGTTGGCCGGCGGAGGGTCATGGTCTTGGAGGATGATCTTCTGTCCTAGGTCAGATTGTACGGAGCCCGTCGTGGACCAGCTGACGCCTCGCGCGTTTCGCACGCTCATGGGAAACCCCCAACATAGGCCTCAATGGAAGGGCACGCGTGCCAGCCGTGAACGCAGAGCGGCCCACCCCAGACGTGCTTCCCGCCCCCAGTCTGAACCCCAGTCCAGAATGGTAGAGTTCGTTTGCCGGTCGCAGGCGCGGAATCCAGACCCCCGTCCTCATGACGTTTGTGTCGCCTGGCCCTCAGAAGTCTTGACCCCTTCCCCGGGGCCCGTTCTTCATCCCGAGTCGTCTTCTGACGCTCCCGCGGCCCGACGAGGGCCCCCTGGCGACCGGAAAATGGAGAGACACACCTCCCGCCGTGATCTCTCACAACGCCAGGGGGGGGCCTGGGCGCGGCGCGCTTCTCGCGCGCTGCACGCCCGCCGCAGCGGGGACCGCTCCCAGCGCGCCCTTCCCCCCGCGCGCCTCGGGGGCCCCGCGGCGAGAGGCGCCCGTGGCGTGTCCGTGGGCCCCGCGCGGCCCTGCCTTCCTGGCGCTGCCCGCGCCGAGCATCACCGCCCACCAAACCACCCCAACCCAACCCGAAGGCCCCAATTTGCCCTCCATTTCCAGTTGGGGGGGGGGTCGGGGAACATGGAGAAAACACACATGAAGCCCGTACCCCCCCCCCAGCCCGAAATTCGGGTCTTCGGATTGGGTTGGGGTGGTTTGGTAGGTAGTCAGAGCAGGAGCGCGAAGCTCGCAGAAGGGGGGGTGGGGGGGAGGGGGGAGGGCCTCTTAGGAGCAATCCCTACTTCTCAGAAGGCGCGGGCCTTGTCTACGGATGCAGGGCCGGCGCCCTCTAAGAGCCAGGCTCCTGCTAAGAAGCCCTCCCCCCTCCCTCCAGCCCCCTGTGCTCGCCCCCAAGAAGCACGGCTCAGAGGAGGAACTCACCACTCACCAAACCACCCCAACCCAACCCGAAGGCTCCAAGTTGCCCTCCATTTCCAGGGGGGGGGGGGTCGGGGAACATTGTAGAAACACGTGGAACCCGCACCCCGCCCCCCCACCCGAAATTCGGGTCAAATGCGGGTCTTCGGTTTGGGTTGGGGTGGTCTGGTAGGTAGTCAGGAAAAGGTACCCATATCGCTACCCTTCGGCCGTTTTCATCTTCTTGGGGCCTCCTGGGAGGCCCTCGTCGCCACCGCTGGGTTCGCCTCGAAGTCCTCGTCAGAACACTCCTTTGGAGAGGTCCAGGGGGTAGCGGTATCGGTATCTTTCGGCTTCCCCAATGGACTCAACAGGTCAGGGACCCAGACGAGGTAACCTCTCGCTTGGATCGGGCCCCCGTCAATGGGTCAGATGTTCGTTTGGGGGACCTTCTTGGAGCCCACCTGACTGATCTGTTCGACTCCAGTTCGACTCAAGTTCGATTCGCGTTCGACTCAAGTCGACGGACATTCGACGCAGCGTCAACGCATGTGTGGAGCGAGGGGCTCCAAGAAGGTTCCCAGAAGCCCAGAAGGAGCTGTAGCTTGCCTCTCCACGGTAGGGTTCGCATGTGGGTCGTGCACCTCAACCAGCTTGTCCTTCACGCGCACATGGGGGGGCCGCAGCCAGGGCTTTGTCGGTAGGGTTGCTCTTGCCATTGCTCGTTCTGAAGATTTCAGGTTTTCTTTAGCCCGCGCCTTGTCACCGCTCTCGCTCACGGTCCGGGCTCTTCTTTCCTCGTCGCGCCTCCTTTTTCATCAAGCTTCAGCCAATCGGAAGCTCCATGTACCCTAGATTGCGAGAGAGTGGGAAGATGGGCTATGTGAGGGGAATTCCGTTGCGTTCGAGACTGGGGAGATACATCCCTTCTTTCTTCTCCTCTTTTCCCTCGTGCCCACCTTCGCTCTTTCGTTCTTCCCCATGCATTACGGCCCCTCCTGGTTTTGGGGCAGGGCCAATCCAAAAGCTCCACCGTGGGTCCGGCCAGGATAATCCGATCAGTTTCGAGGCGAGCCAGTTCGTGCGGACACTCTCCTACGCGTACCTACACGGTGTATACGCGAAGCTGTTGGTGTGGCCTCAGTTTCTTTGCTACGACTACTCCATGGATGCGATCCCGTCGGTGCGTACGCTGGAAGATCCTCGCCTGCTCCTGCCACTCGCCGCGTATGTTGGCTTCATCTCTGTTCTTGCAGCCACACTGCACCTGCCTGCGCGGTACAGGTCGGAGGCTAGAATGGTACTCTTACCCCTTCCCTTGCCTCGCTTTCCCGTTCTTGGGCCTCCTTTGAGGCGCTCCTCGCCGCCGCTGGATTCTCCTTGAGACCCTGGTCAGAACGCACCCCGGAGAGGTCTGGGGAGTAGCGGTATTGGTACCTTTGCTTTTCCCAGGCGGGCTGGCCTGATGTCCTTGGCGCTCTTGGTAGCGACCTTCTTTCCGGCCAGCAACATTTTATCCTGAGCGCCTTTGGGCAGACGTTCTGTTGGGGCCCTTGTGCCTGAATGCTGGCCGCCTTGGGCGGTCGGTGTGGTTGTGCCGCGGCACGGGCGTACAGGGGCAAGTACATACATTTAGACATACACATGCGCCCACTCTTGTCTGCGGACTGGTTGACGCCACTTAGCTGGGATGCGAATCTTGAGATGCGGACATGCAGCATCGTCGGAATGCGTGCTGTACAAAGTAGCCCCTAGATGCGAGAGAGGGGTAATCAATACGCGCAGCCGTGGAGGGAGACGAGAAGGACGGGGAGGAGCAGGAGGAGGAGGAGGAGGAGGACGAGGAGGAGGAGGAGGAGGAGGAAAAGGAGGAGGAGGAGGAGGAGTAGGAGGAGGCGGAGGACGAGGACGAGGAGGCGGAGGAGGGATGCGGAAGAGGAGCAGGAGAAACTTGAGCTGAAGTGCAGCTCGGTGCCCAGCATGGCAGCAGGCCTTGTACTCGCTGGGCGCTCCCATGGTTGGCGGTGAGAGATCGCGGCAGGGTCGTCCTCCTCCTCCTCCTCCTCCTCCTCCTCCTCCTCCTCCTCCTCCTCCTCATCCTCATCCTCATCTCCTCCTGCTCTCATCCTCCTCCTCCTCTTCCTCCTCCTCCTCCTCCTCCTCCTCGTGCTCCTCCTCCTCCTTGCCCGGAGTGCGGCACGCAGTGCGATGCACGGCCGGGGGCGGCCTTCAGCCAAAAGGGGCGCGGGGGGCAGGGCCGCAGCGGCGGATGAGTTCTGGCGGCCGCGGGAGACGGGGGCAGCCCGTTGGGGCCATGGGGCCGGGGACCAGGGCTGGACCTACACTCGGGGGCGGAAAAGAGGGGGGTGATGACTAGGGGGGGGTGGATATCATGGCGGGGGCAATGATATTTCCAAAGATTTCATGGCGCCTCTTCTTATTTCATTACGTCCCTGGCCCCCCCGCTGGGCCGCGCACATGCCGCCGGTCATGATTTGCACCCCCCCCCCTCTTGGACACCCCCCTCTTTGCCGCTCCCGATAAACTCTGTGTTGCTGGGCCTTGGCTGTGTTTGGTTTTTCGTTTTCGCAGGGATGTACAGTCAACCCGCGCAGTAAGGATGAGCAACCCTCCCAAGGATACCTCTGCACCCTTGCCCCTTCGGCCCATCGCTGGCAACTGTCGCTGGCCAGCCCCACTCGAAAAGTGTCGACCTGGGCCTTCCAAGGTCCTGGCATCCTTACCGCGCATCCTAATTGCACGGGTCGACTGTACTCGGAAACAGGCAGAGCAACACGGAACACAAGACGTAAACAGCACGAGAAGCAACGTTTAGGTCCAGCTTTGCGGGAAACCGCAGGGGTCCAAACCAGAGGTTTTGTTTGTCCATCGCAGTCGCAGAAGCCCAAGCCAGAGGAGTCCACGGAGCCGCAGGAAAAGAGGTCGGTCCACAGGGCCAGTTCCTTCGGGTTTAAGGATGAAGGCCTCAGTGAAAGCACTTCGTGGGCAAGGGGCCAGCATTCTAGGCCTCCCAGATGGGGTCGGAGTAGATGGGGTCGGAGGGTAGCGCCGCATCGCCGATGCATCGTCGATGCGGCTCGATGCGAAGCCAGATTTTTTCCACGCGGATTGCGCCGATGTATCGCCGACGTCGACGATGCATCGCCGGTGCATCGCCGATGCATCGTCGATGCAGCGCCCGTGCATCATCGCCGGTGTATCGGCAATGCGGCGCGATCCTTCGACCCCATCTAGGAGGCCCCTGAGCATGATTCCACAATCTGGGATCTCAGCCTTGGGAATACAGTGGAGACCCAGGCTAAGATACACTCTGCTCGCCTCCAGGGTGCCCTGGGTTTCTTGGGTTTCGATGGTTCTGCTATGGTAAGCGTGACGTTCCCACAGCAAAAATCAATGGACGTCCTGGGGTCTCAGGGTCGGGTTTCCTGTGGAGGGCTTATTGTGGACCGGCCTCCGCTGTAAGGCACGTCGAGCAGGGGCAGGTCAGCACGGGGGACCGGCCTTTGTGCCTGGCACTGCGGCGTGCGTGGACCTCGGCTCTAGCTCCAGTGCGGTGCACTGCCGCGTCCTGTGTCGCAGTTGGGGCCCCAGTCGGGTACAGCCAGGACCCCAGGTAAGGGGACCCGGTTGATAGTAGGGCCCTGGAGCCTCTGAATTGGCCAGAATCACTAAACCAGGTCTGCCGTAGCTGGTGTTTTTTCGGGTGACGGCAGCCCTGGTTAGTGAAATGGGGCGGGGGGGACGTCCCCCAGTACTCATCACTAAACCAGGTCCCACTAAACCCAGTTCTGCCAACGCCCGGTCTACCTCAAGTGCGGTGCACTGCCGCGTCCCGTGTCGCAGTTGGGGCCCCATTATCGCCGGGACCCGCCTGGCATGTTCGGAAGGTGGAACATGTACACTGCCAGTGGCGGGCTGTCTTTCAATCCCTGGACTATGAGGGCCGGGGCCCTATTTCAGTCTCTGTTTTTCAATCCCTGGGCGTCGGGGTAGTGTGGTGTATGCTTTTGTGCCTGCTCCCCCGGGAGACAAGGACAAATGGATACACCAGGATCCCGTGTACACCGCTTTCTTGTGCAAGTGGCAGTGCAGGGCCGGAAAACACGTCGGTGTATAGAGTTTGTGTCCTTACATTTGAGGTGCCGAATTCGGGTCTGCTGGTTGGTGGTGGGGAGGTGTAGCTCAGGGAGGTCAAGAGGACATGGTAATCAGTAATCAGCGTCACGCGGGCGCCATCCCACAGCATCACTGATGTGGGGATCCTCCAGGGCCTCGTACGTAGTGCTGAGCGCCAGGACCCAGCCCGAACACTGCCACAGAAGGTTAACCGCTCTCGAAATCTTGCCCTCCAGACCGAATCAGTGCAGCAGAGATCGCTGGAGAGTCCCCCTTCCTATGTTGATCGCTGTTTGAGCACATTGCGTGGTTCATCCGCAGTAATTTATCAGGAGAGGAAAAAAACACAGACACAAGTAATCGTCGACTCCCAGGAAAATATGGGAAGATATGGGAACTGGCGGGGAAACAAAACCTAGAAAATATTTGAAAATATGGGGAATCCTGTCATTTGTGTCTACTTATTTAATCTCTTCGCTCATTCCGCCGGCCCATAATGCCGCACCGTGGTCGCCTGTCCGAGTGGTCGTTTGCAGTGTGGAGCTGCGGCGTCGGGAGCCGAACGCGGGGGAGGAGGACCACGCCGACCCGCGTTTCCAAAGTCGCGTCTGGCTGGAGTCTTGGAGGCGTCCTGGGGGCCTCCTGAGGGTTTTTTGGAGGCCTCAAGAGGGCCTTTTGGAGGCCTCTTGAGGCCTCTTGAGGGCCTCTTGGGGGCCTCTCGGGGCCTTCGGGGGCGTCTTGGCGCCTCCCGGGGGCCTCTAAGGGCCGAGAGCTCGAAATTCTGTTTCGTGAACCTCCTCTTGGGGCGTTCTTGAAGCGTTCTTGTGGCCCTCTTGGGCCGTCTTGGAGGCCTCTTGGGCCGTGTTGGAGCCGTCTTGGGCCATCTTGGAGCCCTCTGGGGGGCGTCTGGGGCCCTCTTGGGGCGATCTTGGAGTGTTCTCATTTTCCTCTCCTCCCCTCGCCTCTTTGTGACCGACAGTGGTTACGCAGCCAATTTGGCTTTGGGGCGCTCTCGCGCCAGAGGACTGAATGTACGTGCGATCTCACACACTTGGTTGAGAAAAGTGTTTCCCTCTAGGCCTTTCGGCCCTCCCTGCCCACGATGCCTGCTGACAATGGTAGCGGAGCCTCGTCCACTGGGTCAAGGGGGCGCTGCTGAGCCAGGTGCTGAGGGTGCTGCACGTAATCAGGAGGTTCCCGAGCGAGAGGGCGCCCATGCGACAGACCCATGGGAAACGATCTCCACTCCTCAGAAGACAGATGGGGCCGCAGCCGGCCTCGACTCAGATGAGGACGCCTGGAGAAACTGGGGGCGAGCAGGTTGGTCAGATTGGCATTGGTCTTCCTCCCGAAGCTGGTGGGGTTCCGGATCGTGGGGAAGGGCATCTGGGGATGAAGTCAATCGAGACTACTCTGCGCCTCCGACGTGGCATGGGTTAGAGAATTTGGAGTTGTACCTTGCTAGTCTTAAGTCCTGGGACGGGCGGACTGCATTCAAGGCGGAGACTCGTGCCGGGCGAGTGATCGAGACGTTCCCCATCGAGCTTCAGGCAAGATTCAAGAGCATCAGGCACCTGACCGATGAGAGCGACGGCCTTGGTAAAGTTATTGACCATCTTAAGTTGCTAAACGGGGAGCGTCCAGGGGACAAGGAGCGTGAGGCACACAATCAGGCACTCTTTGACTATGCGATAAAGAAAGGAGAGACCCTCACGGACTACGTGATCAGGCGAGATCAACAGATTGCGGCCGCCGAGCGGCTGGGTCTGACACTTCCCGACACAGTGAAGGCTACGAGGAAGGAGCTAACCTAACCTCCCAGCTTCGACTCAACCTGGGGACCCTGATGGCTGGCAAGAGGACCGTGGAGGCTGTTCGCGCTGCCCTACTGGAACTGGATATCACCGAGAGGCAGACGCTCCCGAAGGCGCTGGCACATGCTCAGGCCAGGACCTTCGCGACCACGGTACCGGTGCTCGATGAAGCTGGGGATTACGAGTGCGACACATGCGACGACAACGAGTGCTTCGGGCTCTATGAGATGGAGTTCGACGAGCAGGAGCTTGCCACTATTCTTATTTCGTTGGACTCCCAGGACCTGGACGAGGAGCATATCATGGATGTTTTTGCTGAGGTGACTCTCCCTCAGCGGCGTCGTACGTGGGCAGAGTCCAGGCAGCTCAAGACGAACAAAAGAGTAGATAGGGATTTCTTCGACCGTAGCAAAGGAAAGGGAACGAAGAAAGTCACCAGGGACGATTTCAAGAAGAGATCCCGCTGTTCTAATTGCGGGGAAAAGGGGCACTGGCGAGAAGACTGTCGGCGACCGTATCGGAGTAGGGCAGACAGGTTGAAGTCCGAGTCGTCACGACCGGCGGCGGCCAA